GGCTGACTTGGTGGGACTCCCTGTGCGTGCGTGCGCACACACACACACACACACACACACACACACACACACACACACACACACACACACACACACACACACACCCCCCAGCTGGGCTGTGCCCAGGCTTCTCTCCCACCCAGGCTCCTGGGGACTTCGCAACTGGCTTTTTGGGGCCAGAAGAAAAAAATCCCAATATTTGGAAAACCTGTATGAGGTGCAGACCAAGAAAGGCTTTTTCTACAAAAAAGCCAAGCTTCTCCATCCTAGGGAAGACTTGTGCTGCTTGGCACGGCGAGAGGACCGAACCCGGTTTGTGATAATAAATGTAGGTGGCATCAAGTATAAGATTCCATGGACCACCTTGGATGACTGCCCCTTGACCAGGCTTGGGAAACTAAAATCGTGTAACAACTACGATGAGATAATGGATATCTGTGATGATTATGATGTCAGCTGCAATGAGTTTTTTTTTGACCGCAATCCTTGTGCCTTTCGGACAATCATGACTTTCCTGACAGCTGGGAAGCTGAGGCTTCTCAGGGAGATGTGCGCCCTCTCTTTCCAAGAGGAGCTGATATACTGGGGGATAGAAGAGGAACACTTAGAGTGGTGCTGCAAGAAGAGATTGCGACAAAAGGAGGAGGAGATAGCTGAGTCTTCATTGTACGAGGGGGAGACAGTATCGGATGAAACTCCGCAGCAAGCCTTCCAGGACAGTAGCCGTTTGGGTATGTGCATGAGAAAGCTCAGGGACATGGTGGAAAACCCTCACTCAGGGATCCCAGGAAAGATCTTTGCTTGTATCTCAGTCTCCTTTGTTGCCATCACTGCTGTCAGCCTGTGTATCAGCACCATGCCAGATCTCAGAGCAGAGGAAGATCGGGTGAGTAGAGTTACCTATGGCAGCTCTCAAATCATACTTTACCAACATCAGGCCATGGATGGAGTAAAGTCTTTTGCTTTATTATCACCTCAGGGAAGATCAAGGGCAGAGTGAACCTGATAGTCGTTCATTTGCTGCACAGAGTATTTATAACGTGGAGGTCAGTCTGGGGTAGACTATTATGTGATTGTTAAAATCTAGGTAATACAATCAAAATAGGTGGGTGCATTCTCTGTTTTGCTAGTGGAACTGTGACAGTTTATACCAACAAAGATCTTTGCCCTCAGTTTATACCAACAGAGACCTTTGTGCCCCTACTGCAAACGAGCTGGCAGAATAAGAGTTTGCTCTTTTGGTAGTATGCAAACGAAACCTGACTGAGGCATGATATTTTGAAGTTTGGTAATGAGCTGTAACTATCTCTAGATGGTCAAGTCCACCTTTTCCTTAAAAGCATTTTAAGCCTTTGGCTTTTACAAACTGCCAGAAACTCTGCATGAAGCTTGTCTGAACAAATTGTTCTCACTTTGTAGGAGGGGGAATGTGCAGGAGAGTGGAATCATTCATTAGACAGCAAGGCTTGTACACATGGCCTAATTTTGAAATGTGCTAAGTATTCACAGGGCCAGGGGGGAGCTGAGGGTGTGGATGCTCTGTGCCTCTGGAAAGCAAGTCTATGGTGACTTGATTTATTCTTTGTTCAGTGAAGTTCCTTAGGGTTGAGTCTCTTCACTCACTGAAGCAGTCCATGTAGTAGAGTTAGTTCTGCTGGACTCAATGAGAGTTTGCCTACTTATTGAACGAGGGAACCCTTCATGTTTACAATTTAAATGTATCAAAACCAAAGGCAGCCTGAGACAACAGAGCATAAGAGGATAGGGAGAAAAGGATTTTAGAAAGGTTCTTTGCCAACCTGGTAGTTTTTAGCAGAGCCCAGTGTTTGAGTGGACAGATATTTGACTCACATCCCAACTAGCCACTCATTGTTTGTGCTTGTTTTCCAGCCTAGTTGTCATTTAATATACACAAGCAGTTACCTGTTGCAACAGTAATATATCCAGTCAAACTCTGGATGTACAGTTCTGTACAAAGATCTTCTTAAGGTAAAACTCTCCTTGCATCCCATCCTTCAAGGTGCTGTATGTCCTGAGCTCTTGTCAATGTTAGTAGGGCATAAGTGGGCCCAGCAGCTGGCAAAAAGCACTTAGTGTTTTGCAAAGTCTAGAAGAAAGATGTCCAAATACACAGATGGTAGGTAGGTCTGGAAATGCCAGAGAGTTCTGTGCCATGTTTTTACAAATACTTCATATACAATAATAATCTACCCTCTGTCATTAAGGTATGCACAGGACATTATCAGATAGCCACAGCCATCAGAAATGTTTCATCTGGAACCAAAACCATTGAGCAGTGATACTAGAGGCTAAGACAAGACCAAAAAAAACCCTGTTTTTTGTAATGGTTGTTTTGTTATCTCCAGAAATGTTAGGATAGTAACTGATGTCACATTGTTCTGTTAATTAAAGAAAAGAAATCACACTTGGAAAAGCTGGTGGCTGTAAGTGAGCCGATTTTTTTTTTTAATTGTATTTTACTTATTTGTTTTAGATATGGTTTGTAAAATGAAAGCACTCAGTACCATTAAAACACCATTTGCTAAAAATGGCCCTGAACAGCCAACAACTACCCACTGTAATCTGCAGAGGGCTTAGAGCAACTTGATGCAGAACCAATCTCTAGCATGCTGGGAAAGCCATGTCCTTATTACCACTACCAAAATCACCTTAAATGTATCTGTAATCAGCAATGCCACATTCATGACTCAGGGCTAAATCTAAGAGGACTTAGATGCCCTATTGCTGAGCATAGTGGTGCTGTATTTTTTTAGATACCTTCTATCAAGGACATACATTTTCCAAGCTAACTGCCTGGAATTGGAATTGCTTTTTTGTTTTGTTTTGTGTTTTTGTTTTAAGTTAGACGTATCAAATTAGCTTTGTTGTTTTACAATGCAGCAGTCTGTTCTTGAGTGGATGGACTTTTGTGAGTGAAAGGTTTATAAATCATGCATCCCACCTATTATAGCTGCAGGCAGAAAAAAGGCACTGATAATAGAAGCAACTCTTTGGGAGTAATTACTTAGACCCTGATCCTACAGTATCACCTGAATGGACAAATCATTGTGCCCATATGATGACTCACGGAAGTCAATGTGATGAAATTATTTTAGAGATGTATTCTATTGACTAGGTGCCAGCAGATTTTTGAGAGAGTTTATCACAGAGGCAGATAGCCTTGTTCTAGTATCCTCATGCTGAATTGTTTTTCCTCATGAAGGGTCAAATACTGCCACTCTGATTCATGTTGAACAGTATCTTAGTTTGCAGATAGTCCCACTGATTTCAGATACTTCTCAGCTATCAAGAAGGGCAGCAGAATTGGGTACTAATTACTGTTTACTTTTTATTACCTTTTACATTTTAAGGTAGGACATTTTACTTTATCTCGTCCAAATTTTTCAATGTAGTCTTTACTTTCTGCTTGAAAAGATAAAACAGCACGCCAGCAATGTGTTTGGTAATCACTCTGAAATGTTCAGGAGAGAGAGCTGGCAGACATTTAGGAAGAAAACAAATCTTTAAAGAAAACTGAGTAAATCAACTTAAAGTAACAGTATGCTCAGGCTTTTATAGACTACCTACACAGGGCCTATAGTAAAGGGTAAAAAACTCTTTAAGCAATAGTACTTCTGAGGCAAATATATAACAGTAAACCTCAGACTGCAAATTCTTTTAAGACAATTAATTAAACAAAGTCTCTCCAAGACAAAAATAGCCAGGGGCATGTAGCATCGTTCAGGCGGTGTAGGCATATAGTATCCTTAAGGCCATGTCTTAACATACCAAAGCAATGTCAAGGACAGAGTGACTCTTTAAGCAAGCAGTTAATACATCAGAGAAATCTTAAAGTAATTCTTAATATGTCAAGGCAAAAGCAATACTGAGCAACTAATAGTAACCAAAGGAACAGCCAAGCAACATTTGGTTACCAGATTTGGCCTGTTCTTACCTTATTATTGGTGAGAACTTCAAGACATAAGATGGTCTTTACTATATAAAGGGGGATGCTCTCTTCTTCCCTGGCTGAAGAGTGGTAGCTGAAGCAGAGTATGGACGAGTGATTGTTTGTCAAGCTGCAAAGGCTGCAAACAGATGTTGCCTTTGTGCCGCCATAAAATTTTTTATGGTGGCACAGTCTGAGGAAACATATGCCTTAACCTTTCATTGCACCACAGTCACCCAAATTTGTGTGACAATTCCTACCCATAATAGTTTGTGCTGCCTTTTCTAGGCCAACTTCTGTTCACTTATGGCAGGAAAGCGTGGGCATCTCTGGACTGCCTGTACACTCCAGCCACATTGGGCAGGCACTCCCAGGGTTTCAGGAGCCCAATCCTGCATATCCTGGGAATCGCACTGCAGGGCATTCCTGCAGCACACACTGCTGTGCCCCAACTGGGAGGTGCATCTCTGTAAGCAGAAGAACCACATCCTTGCCGATGTGCACCCCAGCGCAGGATAGGATAGGATCTCTAGTGTCAAGGACTCTCATCAGGCAGAGCAGCCTGGGCCACACCTACAGCAAGTCTCAGGTAGTGAATTCTTCCCCAGTTCAGGAGCAGCGAGTATCCTGCTTGGCTGCTGGAAGTACCGTCTATCCATTTAACACCAGGTAGGGCCCTGGGTTTGCAGGCCAGTTCTGTTGTAGCCTCCTGGTTACTGACCCTGTTTTTGGTTTATTTCTGGATTTCAGCTTTTGATTTCCCTGTGGTTTAGTTTCCTGGCTTGGCTCTGTTTTTTAACTTCACTTTGTGGATTGCTACTTGGCATCTCATCCCCAGTTCCCAACCCTGGATTGTGTGATGGACTGTGCTTCAGGATCTCCCTCTGGCTTCAGTATATGGCTACTGCCCTTTGACCCAGCCCTAGGCCCTGCTTTTGCTTGACAGCCTAAGTATTAGGCCAAATCTTACACCCTGGTCCTTGACATCTGAGAACAGTAGGGACCCGACCCTGAAGGACAACAGCTCTAGTAACATTTCTAGACACTAATGAAGCAGATCAGCTGTGCTGGGACACAGCACAGCTGATCTCACTCCAAACATGATGTCTGTTTATACCCTATAATGTCTCAGCATTTTGTAGTGCTACAAACATGTGGCGTTATGAGGGTATATAGGCATTTAAGCCTCCTGTCTAGACAGCTATAAAGCCGCCTCAGAGTTGTCCCCGTAAATTAAATTACTTTAAATATATAAAACGTGTAATTCTCCGCTTTGTGCAGAGGTGGAGCTGATGAGTGGTATAGTCAGCAGCTATGAGCTGAACATCCCCAACCCTAGTGTAAACCAAGGACTAAATCTTCGTGTACTGATAGGTACTCCCTGAGGGTTAGACTACCCAACTCACTCTTGATTAGCATTGGCTGAGTCCTTCCACCTTTCCAGCCAACTGAGCCATACTGTAATGAAAAGTCATTGATGTAATAAAAAAACAACATATGTGAAGATTGTTTACTCCAAGAAATTGTTTATAACCCAACTCCCCTGGACAGTACAAGAAGTTTCCCTGTGGACCCCCTGACAACTACAATCTGCATTTGGATATCTGGATCAAATATATGGTTCCATATGCATAATTGAAGCTGACCAACAAATATTTATCCTTGCTTAAAAGACAAGAAAATGAGAATAGCAACTTGGCTATCATTTATTACCTCTTAGTTAAATACTGCTAGTTTCTGATGTCTGCTTAAATCAGATCAGCTTTAAATATTTTTCTCTTATCTCTTTATATTTGCTTTTGCATTGGTTTCATTTGCCCTTTTGTTCTTCAAGGACATTATTTACACATTTCTGTTGAAGAAACCTGGTTCTAAAATAGGCAACTTTTCAGAAGTATAATAAGAAAAGTGTGAACCTGATCATTTGGAAAAAAAAT